GCCAGCTCTGGCCGGGTCCCCTCAGCCCTCCTGGGACTCAGGGTAAGAAAACAGTCTGTGGGTCCCTCCGACCTCCCTTTGGGGGCATATTTGCCAGGACTGTTGTCGTGGACTACCACAGGCTGGATGCTTTAAGCAGTAGACAATTATAAATCTCATCTGGAGGCCAGAAGTCGGAGGTCCAGCTGTGGACAGCCCTGGCTTCTCCCAAGGCTGGTCTCCTTGGTGAACAGAACCTGTCTTCTCCCTGTGTGTGCACATGGTTGTCCCTGTGTCCGCAAATATCCCCTTCTTATAAGGACATCAGTAATACTGGATTGGGGCCCACACTAATGGCCTTGTTTTAACTCGATCGCCTCAATAGAGACCCTATCTCCAAATAAGCTTACATTCTGAGGTTCTGGGGGAGGTCAAGACTCCACCATACGAATTTTGGGGGGACATAACTCAACCTCTAAGGGAGGACTTGTGTCTTTTCTGATTGCCCATCGCCTGCACCCCACGATATGAGTTTGGGTGGGAGATAGAGCCCTCCTTCCACAAAGAGGCTGAGAGGCCCAGACATGGCCCAGCCGCTCTATATCGATGACAAGGCTTAGGCCCAGCTTTGGCCGGAGAGACACCTGCACGGGATGGTCTACTGTCCCAAACATGTGGCCAGGGCAGAGTTCTCTCCTGCTGATGGTGGCCACCTCCACTTGCTAGGGACCGCAGCACCCTGTGCCTGTACTCACAGCCAGCACCAGGGCAAGAGGGGCTCTGGGTGGTGGGGAATTTTGACAATCCCCCTCTGCAGTCCCCTAACCTCTGACCCAGGGGATCTCATGGCTCCCGTGCTTCTCAGTACCATTTAAGGTCTTTCTTTTCTCTGGGTCCCGTCTGCCCAAATTCTGCCCCGCTTGCTCCGAGAAGTTTCTCATCAGTGGTAGGAAGGATGGAGCTTCAGAGCCAGTCAGACCCAGGTTCAAACTCTAATTTACTAGACTGTGTGACTTTTGGGGAAGTTATTTAAACTTTTTTTTTTTTTAAAGATTTTATTTATTTATTTGACAGAGACAGACACAGCGAGAGAGGGAACACAAGCAGGGAGAGTGGGAGAGGGAAAAGCAGGCTTCCCGTGGAGCAGGGAGCCGGATGCGGGCCTCGATCCCAGGACCCTGGGATCACGACCTGAGCCGAAGGCAGACGCTTAACGACTGAGCCACTTAGGAGCCCCTATTTAAACTATTGAGGTCTCAATCTTCCCTTCTCTAAAATGGGCTAATAGATGTAGCTGCCACACCCACCCGTTCTGAGGATGAAATGAGCTAGTGCAGCACAGGGTGGGCGTCTCACAGGGTCCTGGTCCCAGGGGAGGTGTGGAAGCATGCCCTCAGGGAGAGCTGTCCTTCTATCATGGGAAAGCCCTCCAAACTAGAGTCTGCAGGGCACACAACGGCCAGGAGATGAGACCAGCTCGGTGGGGACGAAGGAGGGGTAAGCTTCGCACATGGCTGGTGGGCTTGCATGGACTTTTTCCACGGCAATGCTCAGTTTCCCCAGCCCTGCGGGGCAGCACCATGTGCTGAGCTGAGACAGCCTGGGCCCTCCCAACATTTAGCCTTCAGTCTCCCTGCCGCCAAGCAGCCAGCTCCTGGCAGGAGGGCCCAGGAAGGGCTCTACCTTGCCACCTCTGGGTGGGGCCAGCCTCCTGCCTGACACCCACCAGAACAGCAGGATTGTGGGAGGTCTGCAGGTGGGCTGCACCCAGAGCTTTCTTAGAGATCATTTGCGTGTTTGCTTGTGCTTTGTTTTTTGGTGGAGAAACACACCCTGGATCCCCATGGCTTCCATTCATCCTGGGGCAGTCTACCTCATGCATGAGTTTTCATTTTAAATTTCTCCAACGAGAACAACAGAGTCATTTTTAGCTGGCTGGTTCGGGGAGCCTTTGAACAGGCCCCTGGAATCCGTGAGGATCAACAGGAGCCAACAGGGCTGGGCTGTGTTTGACTTAAAATTGGAAACACAGGAGGCAGAGGAGGAGCTTTATATCCTCTGGGAGGTCCAGGAGCCCCGAGCACTAATTTATGAGCGGCTTGGCGAAATCCTATGGTAATATTTATAAATTCCTTCCCCGGGGCTGGATGGAATGTTCTTCTGAGCTGCAGTGAGATAGCACCTTTTTGGGGGATGAAGGGAGGTTAAGTCCAATTATTCAATGACAGGGAATGTGGGTGAGGAGCCGCTGCCGAGATGTCTGCTCCCCAGAGACTCGGGGAAGGAAGCTGATCCACAGGCCTCCTTACACCCTCAGGGACCCACTCCAGTCAAGGAACTTTCGGGGGCTCCTCCCTGGTGCTCCAGCCCCCAGGCTTCCCCCTGTCCTACTCCTCAAGGCCAGGGACCTACCCTACTCCGCAAGGCCAGGGACCTACCCCTGCTGACTGTGGTGACCACATTTCACCAACATTTACCTCGGTGTCAGGGGACAAGACAGGTTCTGGCTGCGTGGAAGAAGAACGGGAAAGCAGATGGAGGGCGCTGAAGACAGACACAGGTGTCCTGGGAGGGGCCTGAGTCCCGAGACTGACATGTGACCGGACACTCACAGTCAGAGCCACGCCCAGCACGGAGGTCGCCGCCGTGAGGGGCCTGCGTGCATGCCAGGCACGATGAAAGGCTCGCACACCCACTGTGAGTTTTGGACCCACCAGCCAAGGCAGGGGATTCCACCGAATCCCAGAGCACCTGCCCAGCAGCGTCCGCCTCAGGCCTGGCTCCCTGTTCTTAACCCTGCAGGGGGGCAGAGGGGCTGAGCCACGTGGCCAAGCTGGCCGATGACCTTGCTTGGATGAGAAGGACAACGGCAAATGCTTTTTAAAAACTGAGTTCAGGAAAGTAAAACCAAGGGGAAGGGAGGGGAGGGCACATATTCAACCCTGTGGGCCCACCTTGCCCTTAGTGCCTCAGGTTTCCCACCTGTGAGGAGAACCCCGTTTCTTAGGGACCTACGTCCGAGGGCTCCCAGAGGCCTGTTTCCTACCTGCTCAGCTCCCGACAGAAGTGGTGGAGATGGCAGGCAGTGGTCTGAGGAGCTGTCCTGACTCTTGGGGCGGTGGGGAGCTTGGCACCCTCTTTCCAGCCTGCTGGCCCCCTCATCCACAGCCCAGCTCTGGGAACACCGAAAGGAGAGGCTTGTCAGGAGGCCTTTCAACAGCACCCTAGCTCCCTAGCAGCTGCCCTGGCCCAAGGACTTTCCATGAAAGACGCTAAAGCCTATTAAACTGCAGGCTGGGTGGGTCTGGCAGGATGCCTACAGTAATTATAAGATCTGCATCGACTAAATCACGGGGAGGCTGGGTGGAAGGCGCAAGAAGACATCTCATCCCTTTCTGAGTGTCAGCAGGCAAATAGGGCCCCGCACTTGCAGGGGCTTCCGAGGCCGACACCAGAAAAGCAGGGGTTAAACGCCCACTCTCCAGCCGGGGAGGAGGGGACCTCAGAACCCAGCCCCTCCTCACCTGGTTCTTTGCTTCCTGGTCCCATGAAAAACACTGAGCCGGAATCCTTTTGTCCCTGGGGGTGACGTCAGTGTTTCCTTTGGCAGGTGGGACCGTCATGCATGTCTGAACCTTTGAGGTGACAACTCGCTCGGCTCTTCTGCACAAGGCCCCCGAGGGAGCTGCGTCCATGACATCTGGACGCTCCGTCCCTGCGCATGCAGAGGGGCTGCTTGCTAACTCTCCACCTGTAGGTGTTTAGCTTAGCTCAAACAGGCTCAGCATGCAAGGGCCTGCGGTCAGAGCACCGCTGTCCGATTCCACAGCCGGGGGCGGGGGGAGGGCTCCACAGCTGCACCGCATGTGGGGGGGGTTCTGTCCGAGACCCTGCCTCGGCGTCCCCTCAGCCCCCGCCCTCTTGGACTGAGGGGTGGAAGTACGTGGCCAGGCCTCACAGAGTGTTAGAGCTGAAGGGGGTTCCTAAAGGTGAATGCAAGAGTAGGTGTTACTTACTAAGCACCTACTGCATGCCGGGCACGTTACGATGATCTCTGATCGTCTCGCAAATGCTCGAGAGAGGCACTGATACAGTCATCAGTCACCGTGGAGGCCAAGGGGCTGTGGAGAGGCCGCTCGGGGCAGTCAAGGGCGCAGACCCGTGTGCAATCCCAGCCCTGTCCCTTTCCAGCTGGGGGGCATCGCGCTGATTTCGTGAGCTCCGCCTGTCTCAGCTTCCTCATTTGTGAGATGGGGAAGCTTCCCACAGCAACCACGGCACAGGGTGGTAGTGAGCTAGTGTGCATGCAGAGTGTGCACCATGGTGCCTCACGCCAGGTGGGGGGGTGGGGGGGGGGCTGTTCCCTTCATGAAGCGCTCCTGGGGCTCGGCAGCCAGCAACAGTCCCAAGGCCGGAAATCCCAGTCTGTCCAGCCCCAGTGCCCGTGTTCCTCGTCTTACACGTCAGGATGCACGCGTGCGGGGGAGGCGGGTGTGGGGACCAAGGACCTAGCCAAGATCAGCCAGTGGGTGTGTGACCATCACCGGGCTGGCAGCCATCTGTCACCAGCCCCAGGAGAGCGCCCACCGCACAAAACACTGCCTCCCTTTGGCACTGAGGTAACCTCTGCGGGGTCCCTTTGACCTCGGGGGAATGCCGGCAAATGCAGGAATAACCATGTCAGTGGCTTTGACGTCACACGTGCTGGACGGGCAGTTCGCACCCTCCTGTCGCCGCCCCTATTCCTGTCACCCCAGAGTGATGGAAACGGGCGACCAGGTGCCTTCCCACCTGTAATCCGCTCGGCGCTCCGGGGGCTCGACTGACTTCCCCATTTTATTTGAAATAAACGTTGAAGATTTACCTTCTGTAGGCTTCTCTCTTTTCACTCTGCTCTCCAACGCAAGGTTTCGTGGCCTTTGCAAAAAGCATGAAAATGGAGATCCCGCCTCATCTAAACCCCAGACGCAACGAGGATCATTTCAGCGGGAAGCAGAACAAAAGGAGACGTGACAGGGATGCAAGCATTTTATTATTCCCCTGTGCTTCCTTCTCCCTCCCGCTCAGATTTCCCTCCGTGAAGCTGAACACACACGTGTTACAACTAACCCCAGTTTTACTCCCAGCTGCAAAGGACGAATCACAGACAAGAGAGCGCCCCGTGGAAAGGGGGTGACGTTTCTCGGGGAAGCCCGATCGCAAGTGTCAACATCTCCAGCAGCCCCTCACCTAGGCCGGTTCCCTCCCACCCGCCCCAGTGAGTGGCAGATGGAGCCAGGGAGGCTCCGGAACCGCTCCCTGGCGCTGGGGGCTCCCGCGGCCCCGCCCCAGTGCTGAGCGCCTTCCAGGGGTCCGGCCAAGGGCTCTATGATGTCACCCTCCCCAGTGGCCAGTGGGACTCGCTGGTCCTCTGCCCACTGTCCATGCAGAGCAATGTCACTGCTGCTACTGATAGGCAGAAGCACCTGGCGTTTGCTGGGCTGGGGGTGGCCCGTGTCACCTGGCTGGGAAGAGGGAAAAGGGGACAAAGGGAGGCGCACAAAGGTGGGCAGAGTCACCTGGAACGGAGAAGCGGCCCGAGGGACGCAGGGAGCAAGGCCGGCCCCAGGTTCCCACAGCGCCAGGCCCGGCCCCTCACTTGGACACCAGCATGTGGACGAACTCCTCATAGTTCACTTGCCCGTCCCCGTCCACGTCGGCGACCCGGATCATCTCGTCCACCTCCTTGTCACTCAGCTTCTCCCCTAGCCTGGTCATCACGTGCCGCAGCTCGGCCGCACTCACCAGGCCGTTGCCGTCCTTGTCAAAGACGCGGAAGGCCTCTCGGATCTGCTCCTCGCTGTCCCTGCCCCTCAGCTGCCTGGCCATCATGCCCAGGAACTCGGGGAAGTCCACGGAGCCGTTGCCGTCGCGGTCGATCTCGCCCACCATGTCCCGCAGCTCGGCCTCCGTGGGGTTCTGGCCCAGGGAGCGCATGACGGTGCCCAGCTCCTGGGTGGTGATGACACCGTCCCCGTCCTTGTCAAACAGGCAGAAGGCCTCCTTGAACTCGGCCACCTGTTCCTCGCTCAGCTGGTCGGCCATGGAGGGCGGGCGGCGGCCGGCTCTGGTGGCGGCGGTGGTGGCGGCCGGCGGGGCTGCAGGACAGGTGGCGGTGTGTGGGGCACCCGCTGGCTGGCCGTCTGGCCCGGGCTTGACTGGCGGGCGCTTAAGAAGGAACAGGGCTCTCGCTCACATGCAGACTCCCCGCCCTGCGTTTGCCCCAGGCCGGGCGCTGTTGGAACAGGAGTCCGGCACCAGGAATGAGGCCGGCCGAGGGTTGAGCTGACGCCAGCGCCGGGGTGTGTGTGTGCGTGTGTGTGTGTGTACGGCTCCCCGCCCACTGCACTGGGAGCCGGCAGGAACCCCCGTGAGGACACACACAGGGAGGGCGGCGTGCCCAGTCCGCCAGAGACTGGTCCGGGCCATTCCTTCTGGAATTGTCTCTGTCCTGTCTTCAGACCCCACGCTCCCGAGGACAGCCAGCTTCCCTTCAGTGGAGGTTCAGAGCAGGATGAAAAGCAGAAGTTGCCTTTGCCTGAAGGGAACTTCCTCCCCGTGTCTTTGCTTTCCAAAGCCTGAAAGCCTCCGGGTTCCCAAGAGGGTTTACAGAGAAGGAACAAGGTTTTCTTCTTCAGGGGGAAGCACTGTCTTCTTATCTTCAGAAGAAACATGAATGGAGACAGATTTCCTCCTACTCATGCATTCCTACATGTGTATTGAGGGCCTACTCTGTTCAGGGACTGTTCTAGAAGCTGGGACTAGAGCCACAAATCAGACAGGCAACTCCCAGTCCTCCAGAAGCTTCTCTTCCCTCTGCGAGATGGCTAGCTAGCGAGTAAACTAACAGGTGAGATACTTGGATATTGTGACAAAAACCATGAAGGAGATTGAAATCGCTTCCACAGTAGATGGTCAGGGAAGGCTTCCTTGGGGCGGCAAGTGAGGGTGACCTGAGGGGAGAAGGTGCTGTCCAGGCAGGGAGGCTGAGTAGGCTCAAGCCTACAGGTAGCAGAGGGCTTGGCATGGTCAAGGGACAGAGAGGTGGCCGGCGTGGCTGCAGCCTGATGGATAGGGGGAGATGAGGACATGAGGAAGGCGCAGGCTTGGGAAGAGACGGTGGGGGATTCACGTTTTACTCTCTGATTGACAGCAAGATATGCAAAGGCAGGTCTGGAAGTCTGGACCCCTCATTTTGGGGTAGCAGAGCAGAAGAAAGGGGTGTTTTTAAGAGGAGATATTCTTAAGAAGGCAAAGTATGATACTCACTGAGCACAGACTCCTGCTCCCAACTCCAGGGAAGCCTGGGAAAATGACCACCCCCTGAGTGAGAAAAGGTGGCTTTGCCTGTGGGAATCCATGAAAATTCAAACTGGGAGAGACCCTGGAGAACCACCACAATACTGCAGGAGAAGGACAAAGCTGGACTTTGAGACTCGCTGTAAGCCCACAGTAATCAAGATGGCGCCGTTGCCCAAGATCTATTCTTGGGATCAATGGAACAGAAGCATAGAGGGCCAGAAAGAGACCCACACAATACAGTCGACTGATCTTGGACAGAGGAACAATAAGAGGGAGAAAAAATAGTCTTCTCAACAAATGATGCTGGAACAATGGGACATCCATGGGCAAACAGTGAATCTAGACACAGACCTTACACCCTTCCCAAAAAGTGACTCAAATGGATCACAGACAAAATGTAAAATGCAAAACTGTAAAACTCGCAGATGATGACATAGAAAGTCTGAACGACCTTGGGCTTGGCAATGATACCAGCTCATCCAGTTTGGGTCTGGGTTGGGTTTAGATAGGACATCCAAGGCATAATCCATAAGAGAAAGAATTGATAAACTGGATGTTATGGTCTGAATGTGTCCCCCCAAATTTCATAAGCCAAAATCTCACCCCCAAAGGGATGTATACATGAGATCATACAAGCGCAGTAGCAGGAAACAGAAGATGAGACACCAGACAAAGGCGTGGAAGTGGCACGGCGTCCCGGAGAACCAGGGACTAGCAGCACGGGAGAGTGTGTGCCTGGGACGGTCCCCCTGATGGACCCGTGCGGTCTGGTCTTGCTTCCTGCCTACTTCACCCGCAAGGGGGTACGTGGCCAGCAGGTGTCTGCAGGTTTCTGGATTATGGCGTCGTGGCCCCAACATCCAGCCCTCGCCCTAAGCGTGTTCTTCAAAAAGGCACATTGAAAGAGAGCTCACTAAAGGATTTTAAACAGAGCTACTCATGACTCACAAAGGAGAGTGCTGGGATGGGCTACAATGTGGCGCCTCGCTAGTTAGGAAACCAGCACTTAGTTCACGGGCTTCCGCAGCCTTCCCCAGGCATACAGTCTTGATCTTAGGACCCATCTAAACATTTAAAGTGATTGAGGACCCCAAAGAGCCTTCGTTTGTGTGGGCTACATCTATCAATATTTACTGGATTTGAAATTACAGCTGGAAAAACGTTACATATTGAAATGTATTTTTCTATATTTATTTGCAACTTAAAAAAAAGAAATAAAAAACTCATATTAACATAAATAATATCGTTTTATAAAAATAATTATAGTTCTAAAACAGACAAAAATAGGAGATGAGCGGCACGTAATAAAAATAATTTTGCACGTCTCTCCCTCTGTCCTGTTTTGTAGGAGCAGGTCTGCAGATGGGGGGCAGATTTGGGGGCAGATGCTTTGATTTGAAGTGTGGGATAACCCAGCTTCACACAGACATGCAGGTGGAAAAGGAGAGAACATGCAAATGACTCTCTCAGAGACTGGTGGATGTTCTTCTTTGATAACTGTATCAAAACTGGGCAAGTGGTGGTTTCTCAAAGGTTAGCTGTAGTGTGGAATCTGAAACCATGTCAGTGAACCTTTTTGTATGTCCCATTAAAATCCACTGGTCACTCGCGTGCTTGGTGATTTTGTCACGCGATGCATTGGTCATTTGGGCAATATTGGTTCACCGAGTTCTGCAGATCTTCCGCATGCTGAACCATTGCAAATATAATTTAAAAAGTCACATTCATTCATATCCTATTAGAAAAGTAGCAAAAAGTCTCAAGCTCACAGGGGCACATACGAAATTTCCAAAATTCTGATTTTCATTTGAAAGCGCAACTATTATCACTGATAGCAAATATTATCGGTTGTTTTTCTTGAAGTGACAGGCTCACTTCATCCATTTTTGAGAAAGTGTCTGCCAAATACCCAGGCTGAGCAACAACACTTGTCATATCAGCTATTCTTTCCAAAAAAAAAAAAGGCAGTCCATAAACAAGGCTCACCCCATTACTCACGGACTCACATGGTGCTTTTCCTATGGCAACCACTGTTTCTCCATGTTCAGCAGCATATTAAAGATACGCATGCAAGGGTGGAGATATAATAAAATAATTTCACTACTCCAGAAACATTCTTAAGTGAAACTGGCTTTTTTTTTTTTTTCAACTGAGACTCTGTGGCAGCGAAGAATATAATGATTGTTAGTACAGGAGCCTCGATGCCTGGTGATTTTATGCACCATTGCTTTGGTCTTGGTGCAAGATGTCAACACAGTGAAAAAGGCAAATAATGTTTTGGTATTATTAGGAGAATCGTTTTGACCTCCCAGGCCCCCTGAAAGGGTACTGGGGGCACCCTTCCCCTACATGGATCCTTGGAACACTCTTGGAAGACCACACTGGTGGAGTATTGAGAACCAAGTCTGAACCGAGTATAGTACTCCCCGGGCTGGAGGTGAGAGGTACCGAGGACACTGGAATCTTGGCAGGGACAGTGTTGGCCCTACAGAATACAGTATTAATGAAGACCCCAATCCACCCCAATCATTCATGAAGACACCCATCAACGGGACTGCCTGCTACAGCTGCTTCCTTTGAAGAGTAGAGGACCCGAGGTACATTCTTCTATCTGAATTGGTGTCATGGTAGTTTTTTTTTTTTAAAGATTTTATTTATTTATTTGACAGAGAGAGACACAGCGAGAGAGGGAACACAAGCAGGGGGAGTGGGAGAGGGAGAAGCAGGCTTCCCGCGGAACAGGGAGCCCGATGCGGGGCTCGATCCCAGGACCCTGGGATCACGACCCGAGCCGAAGGCAGACGCTTAACGACTGAGCCACCCAGGCGCCCCATGGTAGTTTTTGTTAAAAAGAGTTCACGAAGCACCCTCGGGGATCTGCCTCTGCTACCCGGGGCTCTGAAGATACACATCAGGATTCCCCACTCTTGTCACTCCTCCCATGCCTGTGCCCTGTGAGAATGCCTATGGCTGAGAGTGGCCCTGAGAACTCTCTTATTCTGGATTAAGCCATTCACCAGCCCTAACAGTTGCTCCTCGACCAGCCCCCAGTAAGAATAGAAACACCTTGTCTTAGTGTGTTCAGGCCGCTACAACCAAACGCAACAAACTTGGGTGACTTCCAGACTTGGTGCATGACCCAGCTCTCGGAGTGACTTTTGATCAGTCTTGTGTGAATCATCCAGATTCCTCCAGGGCTGTCCTGGGCTGGGCACTGGGCGGGAGTGGAGTTTGAGCTCAGGGAGGAGACTGTTGCTCTGGATCCCAGCTGTGAGCTGTTTGATTGAAATCTGATAAGTAACCGAGTGACATCATGGTTTAGGAGGCTGGTGCGGGACGTGAACACCCTTTCCTGCGTTTGCAGGGCACCGTGTGTTACCTCCCGCTGGGTCATAAAGGGAAGGAGTGGTTCAAGTTTATGATTGGAGGCCTCACCTGCAGAATGAAGGTCACTGAGTCCAGGGGAAGCAAACAAGAGACTGTTTGGAGAGTTTCTTGGATCTTCTTGGGTCAGTGTGTCCTCAAGTCAGCGCCCACTGCTTTTACCCAGCAGCAGGCTTATGAGAGCAGCCTCCAGGGAAGCCCCCGGTCCACCCCTTGCCAAGCCCCCCTGCTGGGTATCTTCAAGCTCCTTAGCAGCTCGACTGCTGAGGCCAGTGCCTCCGGGGACTTTGAGCACCTTGCTCAGCACATGTACGCAAGACGCAACAGCAGGGACACAAAGTGACTTGTATTTAATTACTGACAGCCACTTTGACTAAATCAGGATGAAATGATCACCCCCCAAAAAAGCAAAGTAGTACAAAGTCCCACAATAAAGATAGCCAAACACATTAAAAATCTCTTCCCAGACTTCCTGTTTTCCTGGGAAAAGGGCAAAAAAATTTTTTTTATGACACCTGCTGGGATTGGTGACTTAGCTCAGGTCACTCACCGTGCTCACTGGTGCCTCCCCTGAACTTCTGGGCAGGTGAAGGGGTCCTGCACTGGCCTTGGGGAAGGCAGGGTGGAGGAGGGCTGTGCGGGGTTCTGGAAGGGCTCCTTTGTGTGACCCGCCGGCCTTTCAAATTTGATATTTGATGTGTTTTCTAAATTTTTAAATTTTTATTTAAAAAAAATTTTTTTATATTTAATGTTTTGAAAAAAATTGATCAACAGAAAATATTAAATGAGGTGATGTGCTGAGGGGCTAGAACTACATTGAATGAATCTTTTGGTACCCAGCTCCATTTGATCACTGGCTAAGCGGGTTACTTTAAGCCCCTGCAACCACAGGGGTGTGGTAATTACCTTCCAGAGGACAAACTGCTCTTCCCCTGAGGGGTACAGAGCTCCCTAAGAGGCAGGAAGAGCGTTTGTTCTAAGTTCCAAGCCTTTGAAGCTTATGGTTGTGATGAAAACCTTTTCATTCGATGCAGAAAGCCAGCTGTGTGCGAGCTTGTGTTTGCACAGGG